GGCGGTGGCCGTTCGTTGGCAGAGCCGGCACTAGCGTTTGCCCCGGCCCTGGACCTGGTCTACAACACCGAAGGGGGGCGAGTGACACCGATCAGCCCGGGGCGGGGGCCGAGCCGCGCCCCGGCCCCTGTGTCTTGTTTGTCCAGCGCGCGCCCCGTCGGATGGCGGGAGCGTGACTGGCGGCAGTCATGTCCTGGGGCAATTCTCTCTTTTCTTTTCCTCTGGTCCCCCCGGCGGCGTCCGAGCACAGCCAGGCCCCTCGGCTGGGGCTAGTGCGCGATCCTCGCCCCCCCCCCCCCCCCTCCCCAGACAGCGCTCCATCTGTCACCCGGGGTTGCCCGCAGGGTGTTCCCTTTTTCTGGGCCGGCGCCCGGGCTGCTCCCGGCACAGCCTGGGCGGCAGGAACTTCCGCCTTCCGCCTTCCCCCTGCTCCCGCCCCCCCCCCCTGGCCAAGCATACACCCGATGGCCCTCTGCCGTCTTCGCGTAGTAGCCCTCTCACCAGCTCGCCTCCTTGTCTCCCGCCCGGCTGCCTCGTCGTCTGTGCGCCCGCAAATCCGGTCTCTCTCCACCCTCGCCACCCCGCGGCTGCTCTCCCAGCTGCAGCAACAGCAACAACAGCAACGGCAACACCTGCCAGCCAGCTGGCCACCCATCTGCCCCGGCTTCCCGACCGCCTCCCAAGTCCGCCACTTCGCCTCCCTGCCCACGATGTCCTCTTCCAAGGCCTCCACCACGCAGAAGCTCGGTGCCCTGCGCGAGCTCATGCGCGGCCTGTCCGTCCACGCTGTGGTCATCCCTAGCGAGGATGCGCATCAGGTGCATTCTGCTCTGGCCTTCTTTCCTCTTTCCCCGGCCCTCTGACCGTGGCGATCTGACATGCTGACCGCCCGGGCCATGCCCCTTGTCCCGGCCACTTGGCCCGCACTGTGGCAGTCCGAATACCTGGCCCCGGTCGACGAGCGGCGGGCCTACATCTCCGGCTTTACCGGGTCTGCCGGCTTCGCGGTGGTCACCCTTGATGCGGCTGCCCTCTGGACGGATGCCCGCTATTTCCTGCAGGCCGAGGGTGCGCGCACGAGCATCCAACTATCTGTCCGATGTATTCGCGGCAAACACGCGCGCACGCGCACACACACACACACACACACACACACACACACACACACACACACACACAGCTGCCCCGCCATTGACACCACGCGCCTGTCACAGCCGAGCTTGATGACAACTGGACCCTCATGAAGCAGGGCATGCCCGGGGTCCTGTCTCGGGCCGAGTGGCTCGCCGAGCGCCTGTCCCCCAATTCGGTGGTTGGTGCGTCTGCATCGGGGGGTGCACACGCGCGGCGCATTCGCAGGGGGAGGCCATCCCGTCGCCGGGTGCTGACAGTTCCCCTCTCTAGGCGTCGATCCGGCTCACATCACCGCCTCCGCGGCTCGGACCCTTGCGGCTGAGCTGGCTGCCAAGGGTCATCGCCTGGTGTCGCTGGAGCAAAACCTCGTTGACCAAGTTCGCCAGGCGGCCGGTGAGGCTCCTCCCGGCGGCTTCACGGCCCCCCTGCGTGTCCTGCCGGATAGCCTGGCCGGGCGCGCTGTTGCCGATAAACTGGCCGACCTGCGGGCCAAGATCCAAGCCAAAAATTGCCGGGCCATCGTCATCACCGCCCTGGACGAGGTGGCCTGGCTGTTCAACCTGCGTGGCGATGATGTCCCCTATAACCCGGTGTTTTTTGCCTTCGGTGCGTGCCGAAGCTCGGTCTGCCCGCGCTCTTTCGCCCCCGGCCCTGCGATCTATCGCGCTGACTCCCCGGCGCATGCATGCCCCCTTCTGCTTTCTCGGGCCTGTCGCCCTCTTGCCATGTGTGTGCGCGCCCCCCGCCCCTCCGCCCTCCCCTTTGTCCCATGTGTAGCTCTTGTCACCGCCTCCTCGGCCGTGCTCTTCACGAATGTGTCGCGCATCGATGCCGAGATCCATGCGCACCTGGCGGCGGCCGGCGCGACGGTGGCCCCGTATGACGCCTTTGCCGGGCATCTGCGCGACCTGCGCACCGAACTCGAGGCCGACGTGGCCGCGGCCCTCCGGCGCCTGGAGGAGGAGGCCCCCGGCCCCGAGCATGTCGATGAGTTTGCCCCAGCCGGGCAGACCCCCGAGCAGGCCCGCAGCCAGCAGGCCCGTGGCCAGGTGGCCAAGGTGTGGCTCGGGCAGAATGCCAGCTGGCAGGTGGCACGCATCCTGTCGCCGGAGCTGTGCCACATCCACACGACCCCGGTGTGTGCGGCCAAGGCCGTGAAGAATGCCGCCGAGCTGCAGGCCGTGGCCGAGGCCCACCTGGTCGATGCGGTGGCCCTCTGCCGGTTCTTCGCCTGGCTGGAGGAGGCCTTCCGCACGGCGGCCACCGCCGGCGGCGGGGCCGGCCACGCGTGCACCCTGCCCACGGAGACCGAGGCGGCTGCCCAGCTGGAAACCTTCCGCCGCATGCACCCGACCTATCGCGGGCCCTCCTTCAGCACCATCTCCGGCACCGGGCCCAATGGTGCGGTGGTGCACTACTCGGCCCGGCCCGGGGCCGACCGGCGCCTCAGCCTGGCCGAGGTGTTCCTGTGTGACAGCGGCGGCCAGTATGACGAGGGGACGACCGACGTCACGCGGACCTTCTTCTTTGGCGGCCTGGCCGGCACTCCGCCCCCGGCCCTGGCCCGGGAGGCCTACACCCGGGTGCTGCGCGGCGCCCTGGCCCTGGAGCGCCTGGTTTTCCCGGCCACCGGTGTGTCCGGCTTCCAGGTGGATGCCCTGGCTCGGAGCCCGCTCTGGCAGGCGGGGCTGGACTATCGCCATGGCACCGGGCACGGTGTCGGGGCCGGGCTCTGCGTGCATGAGGGCCCGCATGGGATTGGCCCGCGCCAGGCATATGGCGACACCCCCCTGGCCGAGGGGATGCTGGTGACCAACGAGCCGGGCTACTATCACGATGGGTCGTTCGGCATTCGCATTGAGAATGTCCTGCGCATCCACCGGGCCACGCCGGCCAACAACTTCGGCAACACCGGCTTCCTGGCCTTCGAGCCGCTGACTCTGGTCCCGGTGCAGCGCGACCTCCTGATCCTGGAGCAGCTGTCTCCGGAAGAGCGCTCCCACCTGAATGCCTACCACCTCCGGTGCCGGGAGGAAGTGGGCGCGCGCTTCGCCGATCGCTCTTGCCCCGGGTACCGGTGGCTCATGGAGCAGACCGTGCCGATCTGAAATCCGGGCAACGAGAAAGAAGGGGCAAAAAAGCCCGAAGGAAAGCCACGGCTCACCAGGGAGAGACAGCGCGCCCCCCGAGCGCCCTTTCCAGGCCACAGGGCACAGTGGCGAGGACCGGCGTCCGAGGCAGAAAAAAAAGGGCCCGGGCTGCCGGGGCGCCCAGTCACGCCCCGCCTCGCAAAGACCTCGTGACTGTGTTCGTGATCCGGGGGAGTTGGCAACCGCCCCCAGCCAGCCGGCGCATGCGTGTCCCTCTGGCGGCAGGGGCCCCCGCACGGTCGGGGTCCCCACTGGCGGGCCCCGGCCACGCTTCTGTTGACTAGTCGGATAACAATGTATAAAAAAAAAACCAGCGTGTGCCTAAAAAACAGGACGGAGCTCCTCTTTCGTGCGTTGGGGGGCGAGGACGGCGGGGGGGGG